TTTTTTTTTTTTTTTTTTTGTTGGTTGTAGGGCTTGAACTCAGGATTTTGGCATTGTCTCTGAGCTCTTTTGTCAAGGTTAGTGCTCTACTACTTTGAGCTACATTTCCACTTCTAGTTTTCTGGTAGTTAATTGGAAATGAGTTTCATGGACTTCCCTCTCAGCTGGTTTTGAGCCAGGATTGATCCTCAGATCTCAGCCTCATTAGTAGCTAGGATTACAGGCATGAGACACTGGCTCTTGGCTACCTCTGGCTTTTGATAGTTAGTTGGAGATAAGAGTCTCACAAATTTGTCCATCCAGGCTGGCTTCAAACCTGGATTCTTATACTTTAAAGTCTTCTGAGTAGCTAGGATTGTAGGCATGAACCACTGGCATTTCACGTAGTTTATTTTTGACTTAACACTTCTACATGTACTCTTTGAAAATGAAAAACTAACAGAATAACAAGTCCTTTAATCAAATGAAATTACAAGTTGCACTGCAGTTGAACTGTAGTTGCACTTGTTAGATTGTGATTTTGGTTAGCATTTTTTATAATATGTACTATATATAATTATTAACTTAGAGCCAGTGTCTACCTCAGTGGTAGATCACATACTTATCATTTATGAGACCCTGGGCTTGATCCCCAATGCCAAAAATGGAACCAAAACTAAAAACAACTAACTTGTAGGTAATACTGGTATTTTCTTATCATTTAGCCCCTTCTGGTTTTTACCTAGTGAGAGATAACACTAGTATCAGTAATGGGTGGTAACAATATTTTGGTTTTCCTTAATATAATTTTTTTTTGGGTCCGGTTGTGGGGCCTGAACTCTGGACCTAGGTGCTGTCCCTCAGCTCTTCAGCTCAAGGCTAGTGCTCTATCACTTGAGCCACAGTACCACTTCCGGCTTTTTTCTTTTTGCTTATATGGTGCTGAGGAATCAAACCCAGGGCCTCAGGCTTGCAAGGCAAGCGCTCTACCACTGAGCCACCTTCCCAGCCCCCTTAATATAATTTTTTAAATATCTTTAAGTAGTTGTACAAAGGGAATTCAATCCAACATGTCAGTTTATAAGGACAACACATCTTAAAAAATGTCAGAGGCTGGGAAGGTGGCTCAGTGGTAGAGCGCTTGCCTTGCATGCATGAGGCCCTGGGTTCGATTCCTCAGCACCACATAAGCAAAAAGAAAAAAAGCCAGAAGTGAGCTGTGGCTCAAGTGGTAGAGCGCTAGCCTTGAGCTGAAGAGATGAGGGACAGTGCCCAGGCCCAGAGTTCAGGCCCCACGACCGGACCCCCCCAAAAAAAAACCCAATGTCATCCCTTCCATCTTCTCCCCATCTTTCCCAGTCCCACTTATCCCCCCAAGTTCCTGGTTCCAGTTTCACATATGTACATTGAATATAATGACAGTATTCTCTACCCTACATTTGTTTGTCTTCCCACCTTTTGACCTCCCCTTCTTTGAATAACATGTTTTAGCTTCCTGGAATTAATTTTGAACAACAGTATTTCATGAAAATTACCCATTTCATTTCTTAAGATAGGGAAATTCAGTACTCTTTGACTTGACTGCTAAAAAGAATTATTGCAAAAATTAAATATAACATCAAATTGTGAAATAAACGGCTGCAGATTTTCACTGTATAATACCACCATAGCAGAATGGAGTCTATTTACATAATACCATGTACCTCTATCTCCTTGAACTAAACCAGACTTTTCTGTTCCTATGGGTCCTGATAATGGTGGTTCTTCATACATAGCCCAAAGCATTAGTACCAAATCTCTTCCCAGTATTAGAGTTCAGAAGGACTTAGCTGATCTAGCCAATTTCCATGTATTTGTTGACATCATTCATTTGCACAGAGTATCTACACTGTATATGCTACTCATCTTTTAGTCACTTAAAAGCTGTTTTGCTTTTTGTAATATCACAGTACTTGTGTTCAAGTTCTCATTCTACTTAGGAATAACCTGAGAGTGGAATTCAGATATGCTGAAGAGAAGTAATGAAATGGTTCCTCTAGAGCTAGGCATGGGAGTACACATCTGCAATCCTAGTATTGAGTAGGCTAAAGTGAATGAATGGCCCACATTTCTCTTTTAAGAGCATGCTAACTGGACATTGGTGGCTCATGCCTATAATCCTAGCTTCTCAGGGGGCTGAGACCTGAGGATCATGGTTCAAAGCCAGCCCTGGCAGGGAAGTCTCTGAGATTCTTATCTTCAATTAACCATCAGAGACCAGAACTGGCTCTGTGGCTTAGTGGTAAAGCACTATCCTTGAGCAAAAATGAGTTCATCGTCAGGGATCAGGCCCCAAGTTCAAGCCCCATGACCAACAAAAAAGAAAAAAGAGCATGTTTTCATATTTAGAGAAATGTAAACATTTTAATTTAAACTTTATTGAGTGTGTGTGTGTGCGTGTGCGCGCGCATGCACACGTGTGCTGGTCCTGGTGCTTGAACTCATGGCTTCAGCACTGTCTCTTTTTTGCTCAAGGCTGACACTCTGCCACTTGAGTCACACAGTTTCATTACCAGCTGTTTAAATTGGAGATAGTCTCACTTTCATCTCTGGTTGATGTGAACTTCAATGGACTGTACTGGTGCTAAGCAGCATTGAGACAGAACAGCTACATTAGCAGGGAAATTTGAAAATAATAATAATAAAGCCAAGTGCTGGTGGCTCATGCCCATAAGAGGCTGAGATCTGTGACTCACAGTTCAAAGTTAGCAAGGGCAGGAAAGTCTATGAGATTATCATCTCTTAACAACCAAAAATCTTGGAGTGGAGCTGTGGTTAAAGTGGTAGAGTGCTAGCTAGCCAAGGGCACAAAAGCACAGGGACGGCATTCAGACCCTGAGTTCAGGACTGGGACTGGCATATACACAAAAAAATTCATAATAAACTAGTAATAAAAAGTAGTAATAAGCCAGATTCTAACTGAATTTGGAACTCACTGGAGCAACAAGGAATGAGAAGAGTAGCAAAAAGTACTTAGATACATTCCTTCTATCATATATTTAAATGTTAAATGAGATCCAATTTTCCAGATGAATAACTGGGTCAAAAACTAGAAAGTGGGCTGGGAAGGTGGCTCATTTGTAGAGTGCTTGCCTTGCATGCATAAGGCCCAGGGTTCGATTTCTTAGCACCACATAAGCAGAAAAAGCTGGAAGTGGTGCTGTGGCTCAAGTGATAGAACGCTAGCCTTGAGCTGAAGAGCTGAGGGACAGCACCCACGCCCAGAGTTCAGGCCTCACGACTGGCAAAACAAACAAAAAAAACCTAGAAAGTTCCAGGTGCTGATGGCACATGCCTATAATCCTAGCTACTCAGGAGGCTGAGTATAGTTTGAAGCCAACCCAGACAGGAAAGTTTGTGAGACTCTTATCTCCAATTAACCACCAAAATACTGGAAGTGGAGCTGTGGCTCAAAGTGGTAGAGCACTAGCCTTGAGAAAAAACACCTCCGGGGCAGTGCCCTGGCCTTGAGTTCAAGTGCCATGAACAATAAAAACAAAAAAACAGCAATAAACAGCAACAAAGGAAGTGGCACCATAGCTCAAGTGGTAGAGCGCTTGCCTCGAGCTGAAGAGCTGAGGGACAGCGCTCAGGCCCAGAGTTCAAGCCCCACGACCGACAAACAAACAAAGAAAATATAGTCAAAAACAGCAACAAAAAATCTAGAGCGTGTCTAGATCCGAAAGAATGCAAGAAACAGTAATAAACAGTCACTTATGTCATAAGACTCTGGCTATGACTTTTCCCTGGGTGGAGCTGAGTCTGGCAGGTCAGTTAGGTTCTTGTGACCTGCTAAATGACTCTAGTTTTCTTCCAAGGCCTGAGTTGGAGCTAGCAGCTCCGCCAAGCTTTGTTGGTATCCAAGATGGAGATCTCCGGATGAAGATGTCCGCTCCTTGTAGGTTCTTGCTGGTGTTGAGTGGAATCAGCTTGCCCGCCCTGTCTGGCTCCTTCATCCCACACTCTCTATGATTCAGATAAATTTTGTATGTAGTTTGTGGATGGAATTTGGAGAGCAATTTTGAAAAGCAGAAATTTCATCAAAGAGACCAGTCTGCAAGTTGTAACAAGGAGCTAATACAGCATTATTGAATAGTATGGAACTTCAAGGAGAAGTACTTGAATTGAGACAATATCAGAAAGTGTAACAACCCAAGGACTTTTTGGAAATGCAGCTGCTAGATTTCTCATGTAGAGCTTCCATAACAGTTTGTGAAGCACAAATCAGAACCTCACTGAAGTGTAAATGGTTTTCCCTCAACTTTCTGTCATGATCAGTCATTATCAATCAACATATAGCTAATCTTGAATAATCCTCTAATAAAATGTTGATGGAGTGTTTATATGCAGAAAATCTCAGAAGGCTAACTTTTTCCAATTAGGACAGTCTGTATTCTATGATCCAGCTAAGAGAAAACTAGGTAAGCATCCATTTACAACCTTCTGAATAATTCTGATTCTGCCCACA